GTTTTTTTTCCTACTTCTACCTTTTACAGATCTAACTGGCTGCATTTATTACGCCTCAACAGTAAACCACCAATGACTTTTAATGCTTTTAAGAATTCGCGAAACTCATGATCAGTTATGGCTAAATGAAGACGGAGACGAGGTAACCCCCATTTCAACATCGCCCGAGTGATAAGGTTTCTGTAGGCGGCTCTTTCGTCTTTTAATTCTGATTACAAAATCTTTGGGTCTCCATCCCCCTGCTTCGCACTGCGAAAGATAGGTTTTAATGAAAATTGAATAGTGCGAGCTCTGTTAAGGCGCAAACAGGCATGGGTTTTAAAGATTCCGAAGTGAACCAGTCAAAATGAAACAACGATTCAGAAAGGAGAAAGGGTGCTCTGAGTTGCTTTACAGATGTTGCTTTAACCTGTTATTTCTTTTCTGCCGTGTGGTGATAACAGATGCAACTGTTAGGGCTTGAAGGTTATTTAAGCCAAACGAAATTGTAATGCTGATTACTTATATATAAGTTAACAATGGGATTTCTTGTGGGATCCAATCCCGTAAAATCACGAGGGCACAAGGCCGGTACAAATAATAATTTGTAAGAAGTGGCCCGTTCTGTGCAGGATTCACTGAGATATATAACGGCAGTCAATATGTCTTCATTGTTGCTCTGCAAAGCAACATTCAAAGGCTTCCAGCTTTGGAATATGCGAATGGAGATTTATAAAGGTGACTTGTTCGTCGTGTATGTATTCGGGAAACTTCTGCTTTAAAGTCCCCCGAGAAGGCGATCTGCATAAAGTTTGGTATTTTTAGAGCAAAAAGAAAGCTTCGGAACGTCAAAACGAAGTGAAAGGGTGTTGTCTCGGCTTTTGCCTGGCAGGTGGATGTTACTTTTGCTGACCGCGGTAACTTCAGTTTTTTGCAGTCGTTGCCATTGTTATTTTATTGATTATAGAATTACTTTTAAAAGTAATAGATGCGTATGACTGATTTCGTTTTTGCAGTTTTCACTGTAACCAATTTTGAGTTATTATTGATTGAAACCTTTCACTGCTGGTGAGCTGCACCTCAATACTCTTTTCAATTCCCTTACTAAAACGTTTTTATCCTTGTGGTTGAAATATTGTTTTGGAAGCATTTGCCACAATTTCCGTACCTTAACAGGGTGTTATTTTTTTCTCCTTAGATGTATCCTTTGAACTTTTATGGCCTCCAGCTTCTGGGTTCAACGACCTTTAAGTCCTAGAACACACTAGAACAAGGTTCCTTGAAAAGGATTGTCATCTATTTCCAAAACTAGCCATGTAGAGTTTGGATCATTTGCCGTTTCTTATAAACTTGTTTATCTACACATTAAAGACGTCGCTCAAACCATGAGCATCACTTGGCGAATGCCGCTTCGACTACTGCTCGCTCGTAAAACTTCAGGTATTTGGTAACCGCACTCTCGATAGTTGGTCCTCGATTTTGCACGAGCAAGCAAAGTAATCAAAAATCATCTTTGAAATTATTTTGAAGACTATAAAATTTATGGAGAGGAAATATGATGCAAGTTCAATTAATCTACGTAAGAGAAGACTCTAATACAAATATGCTTCACACAATAGAAGACTAGACCGTCTTAATTCAGGAGGACCAGAACTAGAAAGAATTAACACGGATCTCATTATATAAAAGTGCTTTGATGCGTTGCACAAATAGTCTCCAGTTCTTACTTTCTGTTGTGATTATCACAACATTTCCGGGACAAAGGTCGACCCAAACGCAAACCAGTGTAAAGTTCGAGTTTATCACATTTTATATCTTCACTTTTCGCCTGCAAAAACAGACATATGGAAATGTATAAAAGAGTATTGAGACAAAAGCGTGTCTCATTGACCTGGGTTGTTCAAACAAAAAAAAAGCAAAGCTTAGACTGCAAATCAGTGGCCCCAGCCATCAGCGGACTCAAGGTTAAGTGCCGCGAAATATTCACTTGAGACCGATATAAGCCCTGGGCTAAGAAAATTTTTGTTTTCGTGACACTTTCTAAATATCTTTTACCTAAGAGAAGTAATAGTTGGAAGTCATAAATGTGTAGAACCACTAGAAGAAAACTATGCGCCTTAATCAAGTGATTTATTTATAAAGCACTTTGCCGAAAGGCGCTGGTGATGCTAATTCTGCCACATAGTCCAAAGTTCTTCTGGCAATAAAAATGCTGGGAAAGCTGTTCCGACATGTTATGGCAAACAGGTAATTGAGCCTATAAAGCAAGACGATAAAATTCTTAACACATATTTTTAATCGGATTCTTCAAGAGGTTCTTGCTTTCGTGTACCACCAAAACAGTCTGGGCAAAATGATGTGTGTCGCTTTTTTCGCATATCTGTCAATCTCATTAAATAATTCCTCGTTAAGTAATTCCTTCCTTTTTTGATGGTGGAGAAGTAACAAAAAAGAGTTATGAACACATAAACATTGATTTGCCGTCTAATCCTTTCCTTTACCAATCAACACTCCGGAGAGTATTTCTGTAGACATAACTGAGTAACTGACATATGAGTAACTGACATTTTTTAAATTGCTGTAGTGGAACTTATTTTCCTCCCGCAGTATTCTACTTGAGCGTCGCATTCTTGAAAGGGTTTGACTAGACCACTACTGTACTTGATCTTCTTTAAACAGCCTTCTTGCATGGACTTCAACAAACCCCTTATAACACGAAATAAATTTTATAATACAAAAACAAATAGTAAATCTAATATAAAGAGGATAAGCAAAACTTGAAAGTAAAAGGAAAGCACCAAAATCAGCAAGAGTAGACAAAATTGAACTTGAGCAAGGAATAAATCAACCAAAAATTGAATCCTAATCAGAGGAAAAAGAGTAATAATCCTAATTTCTCGACTCATGGTTCTATATGTTTGGTTTTGGTGGGAATAATGACGACCGACTTTTCGCTTCAGGTGGTCAAATAGCCGCACTTTATTCTTTGAGTTTGGAGGTTTTGTCAATTGATGTATACTCATCATTAACACTCTACTGTAGTGTGAACTACAACACTCCTCCAACTGAACAGAATAAATAAATTAGAACTTAATCAGATTTACAAATTAACGAATTATTTTAATGCAGTAAGAACTGAAGGAATTCATTGAGTGGAACACTCGGAGACAAGCGATCGCATTTTTGAATATATTTCCTCTAGAGTTCACTCTGACACAACGTCTTTTTATTTCCTATAATTATAAAACCTTCTTTCGCCCGCGTCAATGCGACTGTCATTCTCAATTTGTCAAAAAAAAAGGCGGTGTTTCTTGACTGGTTCTAACTGCCGTTCGAGTTGTAGCTAATATGTAAAATCACTTTCTTTCCCCATGTATGAATCGATAGTATACGCTGGAATACAGGGGTTGATTCTTCAAATGTCCCGCACTGTTGAGCTATAATAACATAAAATAGTTAGCCGACCAGAAATCGCTTGTTATAAAAATTCAAAAATCTTGACACTTGCCTGGAATTCCTCCTGATTCGTCCAACTTCGAATTGGGCTTCTTTCTCCTACTCCAGTTACATCTAAAAATAATATTGGGATATTGTCATAAGGTTTGGGAAACTGCAAATTCTTCCACTCTGTCTATTGTTTTTAATGCTGACTGGAGCTGACCATCGTATAAGACTTCAAAAGCTAGTTTTGTAGTAACCAAATCGCTCTGATATGACACCGTTAATGGAAAAGTTTTGATCGCCTCACGGCTTAGAAAATTAAATAGACAATTTCCATGTCCCAGATTTATCATTTTTCTTGATAACTTTCCTGAATACGGAGACAGTTGTTGAATATCTCCCGTTACGAACATCTGGTTGAGATTCGGGAACTGCAGCACCACATTTTAGATTCATTGACGATAACAAATCCGCTTCGTCTATTGCCACTTTACTAATGGGTAGTACTTCTTGCTGCAATTGATCTGCAAATGCATTCAACACGGCCAGAGTTCCGAATATCATCCTTGGCGAGTAATGAGTGAAAATTCGGGCCATGTTGAAATGTTCTTGAAATGTCTCGCCGTTGCGATGAAAACGCTTCAAAACGTACTCCTCAATTGCCCTTTTTTCACTACCTTCTAACTCTTCTTCCTGCTTTTTCAGTATAGTCTTCAGGAGCTCCTAACCTACGTTCACACCACAATTGATCCTTTTGATCGACTGGCTGCAGTTCTGCTGTTACTGATTTTAAGAAAACCGCATCCCTAGTGGGTAGCTAAAAACTAAAGATAAAAAAGAACAACCTGTGTGTAAGATTTAACAAAGGTTGCACTTAAAGAGCTTCGAATACTAGTTAGTAGTGAATGTATTAAGAATTTCTGCATGCACTTTTCCCCTATCTTCTT